TGTGTGTGTGTGTGTGTGTGTGTGTGTGTGTGCATGTGCGTGTGCTGCCATTACTTTCCCAGTCCATTCCATAAATTATGCTTTTAACAAGGAAATTACTGTTGTCGGAGAGGAAGAGAGGAGAGGGGGAGTGGGGCGGTGACGTCTACCATTAACCCGCCACCGCCACCTATCATCATCACCGTCATTACCACCACCATTACCACGACCATCGTCATCATCATCATCATCACCAGTTTGTCGGAAATACATTTTAAGAATACGGTACTCCAGAATTCGTTCAAAAATTTGTACTTTAATTTTGGCAATAGTGCCGCACGAGTATGATTTATTCACGATACCATACAATCGTCATTTATTAAGTTATAAAATTCACTCTAATACAATATTTGTTTTTCTTAAAGAAGTAAAAAAAAAATAATTTCATTAGAATTTAAATAAATATAATTAGAAAGAGCGTGAAAAAAAAAACTTTTCATCAAAAAAAGAAACATTTTTCATTTTTTATTTTAAGAAATACCAATGTCTTTCTTTATGCAAAATATATATTGTAATATGAATTAACAACTTTGATCTATTGGTATTGAAAATGATGTGGAAAGTGTATGGAATTGCAGTCTGAGTTTAACTCATCATCGGGAATGCCTTTCAGTTTATCATTGAGATGAATTTATATTGAATTTGATCGAAATACTTATAAATTTAAATACTTAAAAGTGATTTAAAGTGTTTGAGTTTCTTACAGGAATGTTTATTGAAAGAAATAGTTATAAAAATCATGATTTTATTTATCAATAAATAAAAACGTCGCGATTTCTTTTAATACATAAAATCATAAACATACTTTTGAAGTAAAAGAATGTTACTTTCAGGTTACTGTTTCAGACGGAATCACGTAAATACTGGATCAGTTTAGTTTGCTTTCCGGACGTCTGCCAATGACTTCCCCTTTTCCATTTCCCCCGTCCGTATCATTTCCCACGGAAAGATTCAAATTTTTCATCCCACCATCTTACATTTTTCCGCCACCATTTCCACCCCATTATTTTGGCAGCACGCTTTTTAGACCATTGCAATTCCCACAGTTTAATACTTTGAATATCCGTAAGTTATTAATTCCCTTTCTTTTTCTTTCTTTTTTCCATTACGTCAAACTTCTTAAAAAAACGATACCGTTTCAAATACGTGTAATAATTATTACGTATGTTCCTTTCACTTATCCCGTGAATATGTTGTGAATGTTTTTAAAATTTTGAAATGGTAATTGTTATTTTTAACGATTTTCATTTAAACCATATTTTATCTAATTTTGTAATTTTAGTTTATTCTAATAGAGAAATTTTAATGAATGAAACGTATGCTATGTTTATCATTACATCCAAAATTTTTAGTTCCATTGATTTATAGTGAATCAAAAGAAGTGAACAACGATGAAATAATTAAAATTCTTATGGAAAAAAGTTTTATAATAGCTTAGGTAAAAAACTAAAAAAAAATTTTTTCGTGAACTTTAGAAGATGAGAGTGAAAAGGAAACATCGCAGGATGGATTAGACCAAAGAGAAGGGATGTTGTATAACGAGGACATATGTCAAGTGTCTGCTAAGTATTACTGTATGAGAATTACTATACTAATCGACGTGGATTAATTCTTCCTATCTGTCACTACCTTAGTAGAGTATGTGAAAATAATCGCCAGAAATATGAATGCCATCAAACAGTATTTGTTTTATCGCAGCACTGTGATGTTATTTCTCATTAATATTAGGGCGACAATAAGTATTATCGTTATCTTTATAAGTAATATGTTATAAGCGCATTACTAATACTGTCACATTGATATGAACACGTACAGTCCGCTATTTATGGTAAATACGTACGATATGCTCGTCCTGAAACGTACGTCAGAACTGCAAAAAAATTGGTAGAAATCATGGCTAAACAAACTATCACGTAAAATATACAATGTATAATATTATCAAATTAACACAAGCAATCTGAGAGTAATCATTCAACGTACTAAATATCACATTATGAATTTCTTGTAATTATAGCAATGATAATTTTTGGCTGTTTGGAATTATCGTTCTGATAATTTATTAAACTTTCAGCTTTTAAACCTTTGACACCGTCTGCAACCTTACAATGTCCATCATGCAAAAACATTTACCTGAATCCGACCGATCTGATGATTCATATGGCGTGGCATCAACAACAACCACATTTGCAGTCTGTCGCATGCAATAGTAGAAGTGTCGATGCAAGTAGCAGTAGCAGTGGTACTGCCAGGAGTAATACTAAAAAGAGTGGTACTCATCGAACGAAAACAACGGAATCCGTTTCAGTTAGCACAAGAAGTGGAAATTCTGCACGATCATCACACGTGAGCACTTGCAAATGTTCTGTATGTGGAAAAACATTCACGAGACATTGGCTTCTTCAAGGACATATGAGAACACACAGTAAGTTGCTGAAGCTAATTAGGACTGATAAAATTGTTTTTAAATCATTTGAATAATTTATGATTCAAAAGGAATTTTCGACTTTTTTTCTTTTCCTAATCATAACTGAATGTCACATTTAAACTTGAAATGAAATATCATTTTTGTTAAGATATTACTTTAAACTGTAGAATCTCTTTTTCACAATTTTAACTACTTCAAATTTTGATTTATGAAAATTATATTTTGTTATAGTCATTCAAAGTGATATATATATATATTAAAGATTGGTTCCATTTTTTTAGCTGGTGAAAAACCATTTCAATGTCCTGTATGTACTAAAGCATTTGCAGATAAAAGTAACCTGCGCGCTCATGTACAAACGCATAGTGGTAAGTGATGTTCTTCTGAAATTTCATTTTTATGCAAATTATTTCTCATACAAATTAATTTAGCACTTTTTTATTACGTTGGAAAATTGAAATTAACATTAAGTGATATGAAATCATTCCAAATAACATTTTCGTTTAAACTTCTGACAATAAAACTTTTTATCAGCGGGTAATTATAACTAATTTGATTTTTTAATTACTCATGCAAAAATATTTTGCTTCCTTTGAACAGTGATCATATCCAGTATTTACCATTGAATTTCTACTTAAATATTTTGTTTTTGTTGTTATAATACTTTTGTATTACTGCTGCAGTGCTAATAGCTAGCCTAAATAGAAATTTAAGAAAAATGCAAGAAAATTCTAAAGTTCTTACTATACAATTATTATTCTTTTTATATTACTTTCTATGATTGAATATAAAAAAGTAGCTTTTAAGTGACTCAAATCGAATTCGATGAAATTTTTATCAATAATATAACTTTTAAAAATGATTTAACTTATTAATTCATTTTAGCAATTTAATTAAATACATTTTATTGTTTAACCTTAGTAATTTTATTGCAATATTTGTCTAAATCGTGAATACTTGTAAAAATTATGACATTACTCTAATTATCATACTGCAGAAAAATTACTTTTTGCTTATTTTATTGAAGGTGTCAAACCGTATATCTGTCAACGTTGTGGGAAACGTTTCGCATTAAAAAGTTACTTATCAAAACATGAAGAATCCACGTGTATACGATCCGTCATTAAACCAAGGAAAAATTCCTAGTCTTGCCATAAATTAATATTCTTTTTTGATCGAAGATTTTTTTGGTTAATTTTCTAAGTGTTAATAATTTAATGTAAAATAAATGTTAATTAATTTACTTAAGTCTTAGCGTTGTAAATGCCTCATATATATTGCATGCAACACGTAAGTTTTACATGTTCTCGTTTAAGTTTTCTCTAGTCCATTTTGGCTATAAATTGATCATCAATTTGGGCTGTGATACTTGCCGAAATTAATTTTTAATTATATAAAGATAAGACTTTGTGACTTTTCCTTTATCTTTTTCTTCTTTCCGTTTGCAGAAACGATTTTGTAAAATTGAATAATCACTTTGAAATTTATTCAAAATTTTCTTTGATTGTTTGTTTGATAAAATTGAGATCACTCGTATTTTTCTCTTTTTCTTTAACAAAAATTAATGCTTTGATAGTTGTTGATAGAAAAATATTATTAGGTTAATATTTTCCTTTTTTTTGTTGACAAAACAAATTGATGGCAATAAACGGATAGCGTTTTCTGATTTTTCTTTTTTTAATATCTTTCCTGAATAGTTAAAGAAAAGTTAAATATTCCTATCCGTTTATTGCTATTTCTTTATTTGCTAATATTTTTTTAAAAAAAAAGAAAAGAGGAAAAAGAGAGACGATTATGGTAATGAAACTTTTCTGTCAAAGTGTTCGGCGATCATTCTCACTATCAATTTGTACCGGTATTTTTTTAATAACAACGATTCATGTCTTGAATTTCAATAAGTTTTATGGTGGATAAATTATACGGTTATAATAATTTAATAATTTATGAATTTCTTACTCAAAATGGCGAGATGATAACAATAAGGTCGTACATTGTTTTCCCTCATGTCATAAGCATCACATTGTATGGTGGAAAATATTGAGCTATCGGAAATTTTAATTTAATATGAAGGAGTCAAAAAGAAAAATCAAATAGCCTTAGGTCTATTTCACAATAGCAAAATTTGTTATGCATTATTGCATAGGTTAATTAATTGTATTAATTCATCCATCAGTGCATAAATTGGCATGAACTAAGTTAAAAGATGATGGATACAATTCAATCTAATTAATTCTAAATCACCGATTACGTTCAATGGATTTCAGCAAAAATAGGCTTACAAAATATTTTAACTTTTAGCTGTTCATCTATTTAAATGTAGCTTAACTTTTTTGGTGTGAATTACAGTTCAAATTTTGTAGTTCAAATTTCCAAAATATATCTATTAATTACTTCTGAATTCATTCTTTCCTCAATGGTTATTGTTATGAAAAGTATTTTCAAGAAGTTTGCATCAATCACTTTGTTCCGTTCTTTTCATATAACAATACATAAACATGTAAAAAAGCATAACACTGAATTCATTCATTGGATGAGGTAGAATGCTAATAGCTAATAACAATAATTCTATAAAAACTGTCTAAGGAAATATTCCAAATTAAAACAATTTCGAATAAAACAAAATTTGATCTTACATTCATTTATATTTCAATTTACAGTAACGATTTTTAATTAACAATAGTGAAACAAACTGAATTCCAAGAAATCATAAATCTCAAAAAAAAATCGAAAAAAATATCCTTTTTGACTAATTACTGCCGATTCCTTTAGTTTTTTTTGTCTTTCAAGAAATGTTAAAATTTGATTCAAAACTTGAACGTTGAAATATCAAAATTTGATTATAGTAAACAATTTTTTTTGTTCGTTTTAGATTACAATATTTAGTTATAATATGGACATCCAGCAAACCTTTGATACGGTAAACGATGTGCTAATGATGGAATGTTAGCATCGGTCGAAATGAATAATGCATGTTCGATTAATTGCAAATCAGTATTTTGCAATTGAATTGGTAAACCTAACTGTGACATAGTTATTGGAATTCCATAAGCTAACTTTTTATTTATTGCCTGAAAAAAAGAGGTGGGAAAATTATAATAAAATTTTTCAATCAATTTTTAGATAAAAATTTCGATCACTATAAGTGTTGAAATCATTACTTATGAAAAAAAATATTGCTGAAAAAAGTGGAGAATTATTTTTGACACTTCACCCAGTGGAAAAATACTCTTGAAATGCTTACTCTAGTGATAATTCCTCGAGCTAAATCAGAAAGATTAGCGAATGCTTCTTTCGGAAGGCCAAACGTTTGATCAACGTCAATAAATTTCATCCGTTGAATTTCTGCTTTGCCAACGATTCGATTGTCTCTGAGCTGGGCTGTGATTGCAGATACAGTTGTAAGTTGGATATGGCCAACTCTTGTAGTGGTACCATCCAAGAAAATCAGACCATCTATTATGAATTCAACTATAATAGTGCCTGAAATATTATTAAAATCTATTTTACTTCAAAATCTTTAAAAATCTAAAAAATTTATGCAACATATATAAAGTCCGAAGTAGAAACAAATTTCTAATTAAATTCCAACCAATATTCTAAAATTTACCTCCGTTAGCAGCTTTAAATTGCACGGATGGTGCCCGGTTTGTTTTGATTATAATGTAAACTCGTTTTCCGGGATTTTTTTCACGAATTTCCGGTGCAATATCACCCAAACATATACCGAAATTCAAGAAAGTATCTATTGTTGTGCGACGCTTCTTACGATCATGCTGCGAATTCGTTTCATTCAAAGTCATGTTATCACTCACATCCTGAATTATTTATAGAAGGATGTCAGAGACGAAAAATGAAATTTGAAATAAAGAAAAAACAATCTCCAAGTTTTGTAAGTTTTTCTCTTGCCTTAAATTTTGAGCATTTTTTAAACTTTTATTTTTTATTAAATTGTACATTTTTATTTCGTTTGTTAAATTGAAGTTTTCTGTTTAATTTAAAATAATTTGCAAATTAATTTCTTTTATTAATTGTATTTTATTTACTAATTAATCTCTTATAGCAATTAACTCTGTACCCACCTATTGAACTCATACATTCTGTAAATTAACTTTGAATTATTTACTCACTTTTTAAACTTTACTAAAAATTATTCCATTCATTGACACATTGCTCTCACAAACCTTATTATCCTGCAATTCAAGACTCAATTCAAAATCGACATCATTCGTCGAACATGTTAAATTTAATAAATCACCAACAACTGGTATCTCAGGACCGATTCGAAATGTAAAAATACCTTTTCTAAAAGAATTACGCTGACACTTTTTCCAACTTTTTTATATGGAAAGAAAAAAATTGTATTTAATTTCAATGAATAATTTTAAATACTATAATTCGTTTCGAGTTAAACCAAATTTTGTTCTTTTCAGTCATAAAATCGTTTTACAAATTTTGTTCATATAAAAAATAAATGAAAATAAATAACTTTTTTATTATCAACAGAAATATATCAAAGTATACAATTTGTGCCAATTTACCACTGTAATCCTTAATTTAACCATTATAGGACGATTATCAGCACATGCATGAAAGTAAAGTAATGGCAAACCTATGTAAATGATAGAGTAATGTATTGAATGTATAATCACTGATAAGTAGATCAAACATTTTTCCACTGTCTGGTATCGGGTATTGTAATAGAGGTGGTGCAAAAGGTGTGCCACCTTGTGCATTCGGACTAAACTCTCCTAATAAATTAAAAGTCAAGTCAGAATTTGTTGCCGAGGAATCCAACAAATATATTGATAGAGCTAAGTTTGAAGCGCAGGTCTGAAATGATCCGTTCATGGTTTACAGGATTACTTAAAAAATATTTTCATCAAAATTATTGAGATTTCTCGGTAGAGTTAGTATGTTATTATTGTTCATACTTCTTAACACAATTATATTCTACTTTTATCGAATTAAATCTAGAAATATTCTAACTTCGTAAATTTTGTCGAAATATTTTACTTGAAAATTAAAAGAAACATCATCTTCAGATTTGTTTTTTTTTTCAGATTCTCTAAATTACCCTGCAATTTATTAAGTTATTCGCTTTTAAAATAGTAAACGACATACTTGAATATGCTTTATAATATTATCAGCATAATGCGATATTATTTCATTTTTTCCATAATCGCAATTAGAACACTGTTGCCATACATTATTATTTACATTTACTGACCCAATCTGTAATCATTTCTTATTTATTGATAAGTTCTCGATTGAATAAATAAGCATAATTAAGAAGATTTGTAAATGAGCATATCTTTTTCATTTATTAAAATTTTATTTATAATTTTGTCAAATTTCTTCATTTCACTTACATTTCTTTTTGTTCTTTGCCAATTTCCATTCTTGTGAATTTTTTGTATCTTTTGAGGAAATTTCTTAATTATTTCTACAGGTACAGATGACTTCTGACCTATTTTTTCTTGCAAAGTAACAGTATCCGGTAATGTGTTATTAAGTAAGCGTTCCGACTTTGCTGACGGTTTATTGCTGTCTATCTTTTCTTTTTCTGGACCGGCTGTATTTGGCACTCCATCTGTGAATATCGCTTTCGTACTAAATTTCAATGACATATTGTTGGAATAATAGCGTCTACAAATGTCGGAATAACACTGAAATGAAGTACTGAATTTGATTTGAATTAATATTGTTACACAAATATGAAATTAAAGGGGAAAATTGGTCGTTTTCTTTTTTACGAGGTCAATGGTCAGTGACTGCTAGGTCATCTTGTCAAACTCTAACAGACTTCAGGCACATTTATCCTTGTCTGAGTACATGTTAAGTTGCATCTAAGGAGAGATTAATATTTAATAAAAATTCTGTGCAGATTGAATGATTTTCGGAATCAGCAATTTAAAATGATATGATTAAAATGAAATATTCTAAGAAGTTTTCGTTACATTCAAAAAATATGGGAGTCAAATTCTCAGATAATGTTGTCATTTCGGGATGCTGATACAAAAATTTACCTCGAATTTAATTTAAATTAGGCTATAATTATCAAAAGAAAAGCAAACTGCACTTACGTATTCAGGTAATTTTTTCCGTTCATTGACCAGGAAAGAAGCATATGAAATTAATTGAGTAATTGAGATCTTTTGTGGTATATCAGCTAATCGAGAATTCACATTCTTATCAATTAATGGCGGTATCATATTGCAGAATTTTTCTGGTATCGTTGCATAAGCTTGTGATATAATCTTATTCTAAAGATTTTCAAATAAAAAAATGATGGAATTTTTTAAAAGGAATTTTTTTTTTATTATTATTTTTTATTGACTCACAAATTATTTTGGTTATTATGCCAAAAAATTTGTATTTTTTTAAAAAAAAATAACAAACTAATACAGCATTTAAAAATTTAGCAATTAAATTTTGCTTCAATTAATTAATCAATTTTATTTGTTATCAACAGTTATTCATTTGATATTTTTTGATAATATATTTCTAATATATTTCATATTAGAAATATATTATCATAGACAGTTGTCATAAATAATATATTTAAATTCAAAAAGTTTACCCAATTACTGCTTCTGCTTTAAATCATACATTAATTTTAATTGCAAAAAAATGAGCTACCCGAAAATTATTATTGATAATTTCACCAATTAGGCCACCATTGATAATATGAATATTTAAATAACCAATTGTCAAAAAACATTTAGTCATACGAATGTACGCAGCACCATTGTAAGGATTGCGTTCAATTGCTATTTGTAATGATATCGATATCTGTAAAAAATTACTCAATTAATTCTTTCAATTTTTTTTGCAAATTAATGGAGATGGAGAGAAAAGAAAAAAAACCTGTTGAGCGTCAATGCATAACGTTCCACAAAGCGGTAAAGGCAATAGAACAACGACTTGCCCGCCAAGTTGTCCACTCAAACTGAAATTTCAGTAATACAATAAAATTCAATCAATTTTTAGAAACAGTAAAATTTTAACAAATGAAATTAAGAAAATTAAAATGAAATTATAAAATGATGAAGCAAAATTAAATTTGGTGATGAGTTGCTTGAAAGTTAAATACGAAAAAAATGATTATAAAAAATGTTAATGTATAATTTAATTTTACACCAACTAATTTCAGCTGAATTAAAATTTCGATAAGTTCATCATTAAAAAATGAACGATTATTTTAATTATGAATAGTACAGTCTATCGATAGATTAAGTTAAAATGTAATTTTTCCATCTGCATTGGACCTCTAACTCAATCAAACTGTATTTTTTTGAGAATTGTTGTGTTGTTTTTTATGCCTACATCTTTTTATATTTAATTAAATAAAGGAATGGCCAGAAATGTGTGTGCAAGAGCCTAATGTCATGTATAATAGATATATTTTGTTCTTCAAACTACTTCAAAAAGATCTACTTGGAAATTAACAAATATTAAAATTCGAGTGGCAATAATTAATAAGATTCAAAAATGATCAAAATTTCAGTGCACTGTGAATTGTTAGCATAATTGACGATCTTATCTTTTCGTATTCAAGATTCTATTCTATTCTTATTACAATTTTTATTTTTAATGAAATTATCAAAAAATAAAATACCTTAGGTCAAAATTTTGAATATTGAGTGCAATTTCATTATGTGATATTGGAAATAATCCTATATTTCGAGCACATTGATAATTTGTTATCAGTATGTTTGTAAGGTATGCACATCCATTAACCTAAAAAAATGCTAGAAAAATATTCATTAAATTATAAAAAAGTTTTGTTGACACATAATAAAAATCTTTCCCTTAAAAAAGATCAACTTATTTAATATTATTTATCTTAATGTAAAAAAGTACAATTGGTTTATTTTCAAATTAATTTAGAAAAATAATTCCCATTAAAAATTCAAGAGTGGGGCAAATTAAAATTAAAAGTTTAATTTAAAAGTTCATAATAAAATTGGATATTTAAGTTATTCTCTGCATTATCAAAAATAAATTATAGACATAGATTTAGTTAAGTAATTATAGTGTAAATTAATGTCGACTAAAATTTAAATCAAATTAAACAAGAAAAATGAATTGTCATACTTCCGGAAGACTTTGAGAAAACGATGGTATTCGAACATTCCATATTTCTTGATTCAGCATTTGCGCAATCATCGAACTGCCGTAGCGGAACGCATTCCTGTTAAATCGTATTTTGAAACCCGGATAGCCAACATGTCCGTAGGATCGTAAAATCGGGTTGAAATTAGCTGAATGAACTCTGTAAAAATGAGACAGTATATTAAAAAATAAATATTAAAAAATAAATATACGTTACTTAAAATAATTTTTGTTCATAAAATATTTATAAAACGAAAAACAACTTAGACATTTTAAGAACAATAGTTAAACTATTTTATATTATGCAAATAAGAATGAAAAATTGAGGTGCGACTTTTTTTATTTTCAAAATTTGCATCAGAAACAAATCTATTTTAAAAATTCATAGCAAGCTAAAGCTTACTCTTTTAAAGTTTCAGTATTGCTCACATCACATTCCGAAAATGATGTCAATGGCCTGCCGGGTGAATTTTGTTGTAATACAGAATTACTAAGTACAGGACATAATGATAATATTGCTAGAAATGTCGATATCTAAAATGTTTACTGATGCAATCATCATTGCTCATTTTGAATTATTGAAAAAAACAGAAAAAGCAATTCGTGAGGTGAAAATGCAAAGGAAGAAATAAATTAGAGATTTCTGGAAATATTTAAACAATTTGGATTTGAATTAGCAATTATTTTCATTTGATTTTAAACTTTATCTAAAGTAGCAATTGTTAGACTTCTTCGGTTTTAATCAATTCAATTAAGGCTTACCAAAACATTCATAACTCATACGTTGCTTACTGTTGAATTGAAATGACAAATATTTATTTTCCTGTAAAAAGACAGATTTGAAAGATTTGAATTCCAAGATAAACTTTGTTCATATTTCATTTAAACACGATTTAGCAAATTTAATCTTTGTTAGTTGAAGCTTTTTTCTAAAGAAAATACAAAATAACATAAAGTAATTTATCAAAAAGTATTTAGTATTTTGCATTTATATAAGCTCAAAATAACGAATATTTGATAATAGTACAGCAATAAAGAAAAACAATACGGATATAAAAATAAAGCTATTAGTGATAATAGCTATCAACAGTGACAGTTTTTGATTAGCATATTAAGTGATATTGCTAAACTCGTGAATGAAACCAGTTTTTGATGCCAGTCGGGACTGCAATGTGATAATATATTTTACCATTTATGTTACTATTTACCTAGCAGAAAATGAAAATAAAGAAAATGTTTAACATTGAATAAAATCACAATAATTATTTTGATTGATTAAATAATTTCAAAGTAAATAATAATCTCTTCAACATTTCGTTTCACTTAATAACCACTATTCATAAGAAATGTTTTAAATATAAATTAAGATTTAAGTTAAAAAGAACCTTGCTTTCTATATAGCAAACCTTGCTATATTAATTTTTTAAGAATGCTGATTTGTTTGAAAATTTAAAATTAAATAGTATGTTTGTCTCCTACCTTAATATCCCTTCTTCAATGGATACAAATTTTTACAAGTTGAAACGTTTAATGCTTCTTCAATGTTTGGTCATACATTAAGCAGAATTGGCCAAATGGCCAATTGACTTCGAAAAACTGGTTCATTTAATTGACAAATTTCTTGGTGTTTCATTAAGAATTTAATCAAAAATATTTCTCAAAATGATTTATTTGCCTCTTTGGAAGAAATATCCTCGACAAATAATAAATATTGCAAAGGTATAAATGAGATCATTGAGCCAATCGTTAATGATCCGGAAAAAGACGAAATGAATGAATCAACTAGTCGGATCAAGAAACCGGTAAACTTCAGAAATGATAACAATCAAAAACTACCTATTTGCATAAATTATGGTTAAATTGCTTTCTCTTTCAGTTTGCTCCCTTCTAATGTCACTGTCCTTCCTTCTCTTTCTTTCTTAACTCAGGAAACGAGTTTTCAACGTTGCAATATAGGTTGTCGACAAAAGATAATAATTTTATGTGATACAATTTCAAAAGTGATTAATATCAAGGATAATCAGGAATCATTCGTTTATCTTCTATCCTTTCAATATTGATTAATTTTCATTTTTCTTTTTTAGCATTTGAAAAAGGATTATGCAAATTCACAATATTCTTTTTTACAAATCGGAATAATTTTTCGTATAGGCTTTTTTTTAAGAGGAATGAGATTAAAATTAATGTTAATATCATAAATAATATCTCCAACATTGTAATGCAAAATCGATTTTCATCTTTTAAGCTTAAAAATTTTTTCAAAAGAAAAGCAATGCAAAATAATTCGAATACATATCAGTAGAAGAAAAGATTAATTCAAACAATCATGATTTTACAATACTAAAAATGATTGCAATACTTAAATAATGATGACCCTAACGACATCATATTACTATAAAATATATTTCGTCTATTTATTGCTTGAATTATATATATTTAAAATTACATTCATCAACTGTGATAAATAGTTTTTTGTAAGCAAACGAATTATATAACTATAACAAAACGAAGTGAATTCATATATATTTATAAATTCAAAAAATCAAGAAAACATATAGATATACAAATAAATAAAATGAAGCTATTACTGTCCATTAAGAAATAAAAACCACAAATTCTGCCGAAACAAAAATTTTAACAATTACTATTTAAAAGGAGTTTGAAACAAACTACTATTTCACCTTCATGATAGAAGTTTGAGAAATTTTCAAGTTTGTTTATGCATATAAATATGTCAGAAACATTTCGATATTTACAAAAACAATTTAGGCAATGCAAAAAATGTTATGAATATGTTAGAAAATAAAATCAAAAAAACTTATAAAATGAAAGAGTTAAAGAAATAGTTTTATTAGCAATGTTTAATTTTTTAGGCATAAGTCTGGTTTTTAAATACCAAATTTTGAAAAAAAAAATAATTAAATGCAGATATGCCTTCAATCAGAAATATCAACACAGTTTTTTCATTTGTTAAAACATACCTATAATTTATTGTTTATGCTTCGAAATTAAAATAAAATGAAGTGATAACTAAATAATTAGTTCCAGCCTCATATACATAAACTATATAATAAAATGAAATGCTGATGATGAAAAATTTTCGCTGATTTAGTTATATAAATTGTCAAATTAAACATGTTCTAAAAGATGCTGAAAAAATTGAGATGAAAATTTGCGTGTGAAAGAAACAATTGGAATTTTGTGAAAATTGATACTATTTGATAAGAAGGAAAGGAAATTATGCGAAACAATGCACTGTTTGTTTGAAATTGAAATTTCAACTTGATAGCATTTATTGGGGTGTATGGAGGAGGGCAAAAGGACGAAAAGAAACCTTCCGCCGCCTTTCACCCGGTTGTCCCCTTTCCACATACCGCACCGCTTCAATTCCCCCGTTTTCCCGTCGTTCATCCCGAAACAGGCAAGGTCATTTCAATCCAATTATACAAATATTTTATATTACACCACAGACAACTCAAACAATCTTTCTCCTTTTTTTTTCCCAATCCTCTCTCCACCTTATGGGTAGAAATTAATTTATATCATTTATGTGAGACAAGAAAAGAGCAATAGCCTTATTCAAACATTTGATTTGCGACATAATTAATCATTTTACATTGCATGACTTTTGATCATTTACAATCATTTACGTTGCATGACTTCAGTTCCATCCAATTAGATATTTTTATTTAAAAAAAATCTCTGCAATTTATTTGATCAATCAGTTAAATATTTTAAAATTTGCTCCACTTTTCTTTCTCTATGTTTCCAATTTTTAATTAATTACGAGAGATACTTTTGCATCTATTGATTTCAACATTTCTTTTGCAATTTACAATTGCTATAGCAGGCGTCCGGTTATTTCGAAATTTATTCTGTTAATAAAGAAATTATTTTCATCATTTGCCAGTTTTCTTTTTTATTATTTGTGTATTGTTTTTGATTGATTTCAGTTACCTTTTACATAAATATTTGATATCTTACTCAATTTGATTTAATTTTCTTCGTTTTTAACCATCTGTCATCACTTGTAAAATTAGCAACATATAATTTACTTATATGTTGTCGGAAAATCCGAAATTGATCCATAATATAAGATTATCAAATTAAATTCTTTAGAAATATTCCCTTAGTAAAATGTATAAATTTGTTCTGATAGTTAAACTAAGGAAGCTACATTTCACAATTTGCCTTTTTAAATTTTATTTCTTGTCATATGACCTCACTGTGTTCCTAATAATTTATTTAGGGATTGCTTTATAACACCTTTGTCCTTAATTGTTCTTTGTCTCTTATATGAAACCGATGTAGCTAACAATAATCTCACAAAGCCCTTTGTCTTCTTTGCTTCTTCCTTCCCAACATGACATTGTTTGACCTCGGGGTTATCTATCAAACCCATTATCTACTATCTTCGTACCGTCCTACATTGGGATATAGTTAAATATACCAGGAGGTGGGGCCATCTTTTTCATTCATTTCTACATTCGTACGCTTTCTTGCAACTGTCATTAAAAATTTAACTGCTAATTTTTATCGTTGTTAATTGTGGTAGCTTTGCCCACAGTATCTTCAGTTTATTGTCGTCAATATATCCATTCGATCCAATAAACTGCATCAGCGTAGTCACTATATCGAATTCAAAGTGTCTGCAACAAGTATTCTAGACCAAGACACAAATAACGAATCCAAGCTTAATCCATCAGATCGTGATCTAATAGGACGATCAACTTTCACTCCAAAGAAATACAACTAGCTCCATAACGTCAACCCAAAATTAAACTCTCCACCAAGAAACTTTCACCAATGGATTCGATTGTGCCACATAGCCACAAAGTTCTCCCAAATTAAATCAAACAATAACCTCACCAAACAAATTTCAAAATTATATATGTTGCTAATTTTTTTATTTGCCAATTACCAATTTAACTATTCTACATTAGGCTAATCATTTCATTTGAAAAGAACATTAAATCTTAAAAGTAAATCTTAAAAATCATCTCTACGATTATTATAATACTGTAGCAATATAATGATAATAATCATCAGTGAAAGGAACCTATCAGATATGTAAAATCTCATCTTATCCATTATAATGAGGAAAATATCCCCAACATATCTATCAATTATAATTTCATTTTACAATTTTTAATGCTAAATTAAGTAAAATTATGCACTGATCATGAATAATTTCTCGTCATTTTGATTAAACTATTATTAATGGATGGTGACATGAATAAAAATATCATCGTTTCAAACATTAGTGAACAAATGTATGGTGACTTTTTTTACACTCTTGACTGAACAATTTTGTTTAACATACTTAAATCTTTTGGGCAGTTTAAGAGAATTGCTATTTCTCCAGTATCCAATCGTTTTGTTGATATTCAGCAGCCCCTTGTTATGAGAGATCAAAATATATTAATCCGATAATTTCTAATATTTATTAAATTTTGCATATATCACAGCATTGCAATCTTTTTTTGGGACTTGTGGGAACGAACTACTACCAATCAACTAAGAAGCTTTTAACTCCCTCTCGATGACTGCTTTTTTCTCCCGATGATTTTTTGATGACTGCTTTTTTTAGACTTCATATTAGCAATTTGATTAACACCACAAATATAAAGATATCTGGATGAATAGCAATAACAAAACCAGTTACCTTGCAGCATGATTTCCTACGGTTTACATTTAATGCCCTCTTTCTCCCTCTATTTGGAATCAGCTGTGACATCATCAAATTCATAAAAACTTTTCGCGAAAATCACACGCGCTCACAGACAAAATTTGATTCGTTACTTCGATTCTTTAAAAAAAGAAAAAACATACGCTGAAGCCCATAAATTGTTTTGAACACATTTAAAATTACTTTTTAGAAAATATCGAATTAATATACAAACAAGACGGACATAAATATGAACAATGTTAAAAGGTACTCGCATTAATCCATTGAGCCTTGAAAAGCGATGAAATGTATAGGGTAAATTAGAATAAAACCGATGTACTCCAAAATACACAAAATCACTTGCTCAGATTATTTAGTATTACCACTAAAATTTTATGTGAAAAGAAGAGAATCGAAATGGTTCAGATATATTTCAAAAATACCAAATGCTTAAACTGATTTTAAACATTAAGGTTTGAGTTTTTGGTAGAATTTCGATTAATTCTTTTCGAAGTATGTTGAAATGATATAATTATAAACGAGACATGAGGAAAACTAATTCATTTTCATACAGCTAAAATATTAAAAGAAATAAAATTATTTATGAATTACTTCTGAATCCAACTATCTGCACTTCTGAAGAATTTCTGCAAATGTTGTATTCCATCATTTAAATCCGTCGCATGATACAGCCGAGGTTGAATCCATATTGGAAGATTCTGGAAAACAAAAACTGCTACACATTTGCGCCATCTAGCATTATTTAATATTATTGTATTCAATAAATATGGGTACAAAATTGAGCTTCTCTGTTTTGTCAAAAATTGAAATTATTTAGATTTTTGGGCGATGCTGCCCGTATCAAGGTTAGATTCGTACCGTGCAAACAACTATCCAAATACAAACTCCTCATTAGCCATGCAAATATAATTATATCACACATTTATCGTCCACTCTTCTTCAGTTTCTTTCCGAAATAGAAATATCGAATTGCGATTAATCATCAAAATATTTGGTGATTCGAAATATCACTTGTCCAAAAATAAGTAAAAAGAAGCAAAATTCTTACTTTCACAACCCGTTCGCTTCTGTATCTTAAGTCAATCAACACAATAGCTGCGTAATCGTTACGGTGTCGGATTACCCGACCAATAGATTGATTGATAGCATGCATGCATTTCGCTTCATAATATTCACTACCACTCCTTGGACCAAATTCGCTTTGCATAAACTAAATTTGCTCTCCTCATCAATTTATGAAAATCTTATTAGAATTCAGGATTTTCACGTACTGCCAAAGGACCATCTTAGCCTCACATTATCACCTAGTCATACTTTATAATTTTCGTGTTACTTTCTTTATTTAACTTCATGACCAGAACCAAACTTCACCTTATTCTGTGTTTCATTATTCCTAAATTTGTACGTCACTTGATATTATATCATTCTGTAAAGAAATTGAGATTATAAAAGGTACCTTCAGTTTCTCTTTTACAATAACATCTTCTCTATTCATATAGGGTAATCCAACGACAACAACCGTGCGTCCTAATTCATCCGAAAAATTAATTCCTGAAAATGAGAACATCTGGCTATCTTCAGCATATCATATAGTTTTCGTAGAATCAACTTTTTTTTTTCATCTTCGCTATTCATATAGGATAATCCAGCGACAAAAACCGTGCGTCCTAATGATGTAATATTAATTTTCAGATAATACATAATAGTCTCACAAATATGTATACTTCACCAGAAGTATATCAAAAGTTAGTCCTGTAAAACCGATAATTTTTCAAACTAATTTTGAAAAATCATAATTTAGCTGGAAACAGTATATACTTACATTTTAACATCAAAATATCAGTTTTAATTTTAATCAGGGAGAAATCATTTAGGGGAAAAATAAATAATATAAAACAAACCTTCACTTAATTTTCCACCAATTACCGCTAACAACAAAGCACCTTTTACTGTTCGAGCTGATTTTGCAAATTCACTAAATAAGGTTGGCAAACCGTTTCGCCGTTCAATGAACAATGGTTTAACCTTCTGCAACTTCAGTAACATGCAAGAAATCGAACTTGAAAAAAAAAATAATATAAGAAATCTTTTTGGTATTTTTGTAACCATTCCAAAGGAAATTAAAACTGAATTCCAGAACTGGGAATGATTTAAGACACGGTATAGCACAATGATTGGGAATATTGAAAGCGAATTAAGAACATATTTTTTATTGATGTGATGGAAAAGCATATTTTATTACCCGCAAATTATTGGATATTTTTTTAATAAATTCTTCCAGGTAGCCGTAACTGGGAAAGAATACGATCATCCCATTTGGAACTGCTCCGGCAATCTGTGTTAGCGTCGTTATCAAAATGTTTAGCATTGCGTGAGTTTCTCGTTTATCGTGTGTAAATATCAGTTTCATACCAGACACACTTGCTACAAAATCACTTATACATTTATTTTCTCTTAATCCTTTCCGCTATATAGGAAAAACAGAGAAAAAAATGCGAAACTAAATAGTCAAAGCACATTGCATCCTTTATTACCGCATATTAAAAAATAAAAGCAGTTAAATTCTAATAAAATGAAATTCTGGAATTTTTTTCTTCAAACTGAAACCAGATCCTATGATCGACCTCAAGCACTTAATTCCCTACCTGGATAACAATCCAGAACTTGGATGTATAACTACTTTTATAAATCACCACATTTTACACAGAAATCACACACAAAAATCAAAATGAGTCATCAATACTTGGATTGAGAAAAAATTTTCTGAACAAGAGTCTGATGCGCATGTGCAAAATATAAATATATAAATAAATGAAGAAAATGTAGTGAAAAATGCAAACTTATTGTTAAAGCTAGTAACTGATGTTCCTTTATCACATGTCCAAAAGAGCGACGGATAAGATCCTTGTCTGAATCAATCTAAAAACTTAATTTGTTTAGAATATATTGTTTGATCAAATCAAAGTGTGAATCATTATATCAACAAATGATTTATTTTCAAAATTTTAAAATCATTTCCAACAAAATCAACAAACTTCGCAACACATAGTAAGAGAGCGTATCAACGTTTCTGATGGTTCCATAGTACCACCAATCAATATTAAAGATCTGCTCTGCTTAATTATGTCATCAAGTTGAGAAGCTGGATTGATAAGATAATAACTTATTCTGCAAGTTATTAAAATAAAAATTCTTGTTAAATAATACTACGATGTTATCAGCGAAATATTAGATTTAAATAACTTCGATTAAGGAATGTAGAGGAATTTTAGTGCATGACAGGTAAAACTGTTTGAAAAACTGAATTATGATGAAGCCAACTGAAGTAAAATGCATTATTATTGGACAATAATTACGTGGATTATAAAGTATAATTTTTAATTTTGCTTCAATAGACCTTATCCAGTGATATAGCAATTCTGCAGAACTACAGAATTTAAAATAGTAAGAATGAAAATTGAAGACTAAATCAAAATGAAATGACATATCCAAGAAAGGAAGAAATCATCACTTTGCTTCATCTTTCCCAGATGCACATTCTATTATTAATCTTCCATCCTTATAGTTCAACATTAGCAATTGCAAAAACTGTTGGAATGCACATAGTGCTGATGCTACTGTTCGATCCTGTACTAATGATGATGATGTGCACCGATTAGCAGAACTTTCTAAAATTTCAATCCGTAAAAATTAATCAATTATGAAAACGAATATTTTTTAAAAACATAAAGAAAAAAAGTATAAAATAGAAAAAAAGTCTTTACGATCTACATAACTTTAATGGTATACAATGCATCACTGACGTCATGGAGACTAATGTGGAAACTTTGATTTTATCTAAGTCAAATCTGGAAATACTTTCAGACTTTGATTACGTATGTATATCCATCTTACTCAAATATACGTATTATGGATATAAACTTCAACAAACCAGATGTGAAAATGCTTTGAGATTTATTCGGTGGATCTTTCGTGCGGAGTAAGTGTTCTACCGAAAATTCATAAGCAGAATTAACTTTTTTGTTGTGCATTCCATCCAAACGTTTCGAAAATTTGCTTAGCTTCATGATTAAATGTGTTTGTTCAATATATTCTAACAAAATGTCCAACTTGTACTGTGCAAGATAAGCCTAAAAAATTCAACTATGATTGTCAACATTGTATAGTTGAACTTAGCTATTTTTTTGAAGAATTACTGCATAAACAAAATTTTACTCAATAACATTTGGATGCAACTGCGTATTTGCAACGATATTATGCAAAAATGCTATTGTATTAAATAGTAATTACGCAAGATTTTGTATGACATGGTATGATTACTACTATTCTATAATCGATCATGAAGTGATAGTTATGATTCTGCAGTATTTATTTTGTAAAATAGCTACAATAGATTATTACCAGTAACAACTATTCAAACTATAAATTTGCAATTAAGTTTACAGATGCATTTAGTGATTTAATCAGTTATCAAATCAGCAGATTTGAAATCGAGATGTGGAAGTATAACAATCACAGATAATTTAGGTCACTCTATATCAAATTCATATTCATTTTAACAGTGCTCTCTTAAAGATTATATTAGTAATAATTATTTGCTTAAAGATTCTAGAGCATAATTTCACCTTTTGTCTTCTTAATCTGCTACAAGGTAATAATTCTATCTTTTTGAAATATAGTACTATTTTTATATTACTAATGAGGAATAAAAGGAAATTAAGAACAATTTTCACTAATGTAAAAAAATTCTTACTTTACCCGCAAACGTCATCATTGTTTCAACATAATTTTTGCGCTTATCTGATGCATGATTCATATACATCAGTAACAGATTTACAATAGTCGATAACTGTCGCAGATATTTTTTATGCACTGGTTTCAGCCGACTTTGAAAACGATTTAAATAGACACTGAAAAAATAAATAAAATATTTGTAAATGAAGTGGCTGCAGAAAATGAGAATATTAGTAAATCTTGGAGTTTATGAATGTGAATGAAATAAAATAAAGAATCAACTGCGTTCCTTAATCTATCAGAAATCATGATAATTTTACTTACTCCAATACTGAAAGCAAAGATCTCAGTTCCTTTGCATATAGTGTAACGAAATGTGAATTGGTAATTGTTTCCAGCAAATTATGCGCTTCATCAATAACGATAATGTTACCTCTTAATTCAATTCCCCACGCTTTTCGTGCTTCTTTTTGAAACAAAATCTGCAAAACAATTACTAATACTCGCAGTTTAAAAATCATTACTTAAAAAGTATTTTAAAATCATCATACCATCTCTTAAGGATATATTTCTGGAACAGAAAATATTTAAAATATCACCAATCTATAGCTATGCCAGACAAGAAATTTTCCAATGTCTGAAGCTTATACTACAATGCATTAATCATAAATTTTCTTTGGAAACTTAATTTCATATCATTCATCATCAAGCAATAGTCAAAAACTGTTGGCAGCACTTATTTGGATGAGAATGTAAACTGAAATAGATTACATTTGTCAACAGTTTGTAGAGAATAACAACACGTTCATGTTCACAAATCAAAACATATTTCAAAAAACGACTCTAAAAAAAAAAGGACTAACCTGATAAGGAAGCAGCACCAACTGTGAATAAGCAACCGCCTTGCGTGATGCGAAGTACGGACAACCGGATATTCTTTTGCTATAATCTACTAATTGCGGTGCAGTGGACAATTTCGATGCAAGGATCTGATCACAAAGATCTTCGATTGCATCGCTTCTTGCAAATGGACAACCTCCCTTGCATACTTTTGCCACATACTGTAACCATTTCACTGTTAAAAATTTCAACTTTTAATATTTCAAATAATTTCAAATATAAAGGATTGTTCATAAAGCCTAAATATGATAGCTGACTTTGCAGATTATAATACGCGTTTGGTTATTTTATTATCCCTTAGTATGCTAACTGGAACACATAGCCACGTCTGCAATTTCACAGTGCTTTCAATGTGAGGAGAAATTCCCCAGGCTTTCTGTGCTTCTTCTTGAAACAAAATCTGTAGAACTATTCCAAATTACATGAAATTTAAATATCATTACTTAAAACCTATTTCAATTATCATACATCTTTTTAAGCACATATTTTTGGAAGAGGAAATATTAACAAAGTATCACAATCTATAACTGTTCCAGATATTACAACACCAAAAGTCTTATGACTATTCCGAGCAGTAAATACTTTATGATCTAAATTTCAATATATGTAATTGTTATCACTTAAACTTTTTAAGTAATAGTAGACAAATTTATGTGCTCGATAATCGTATTAGTGATGAATTTGAAACTGCTAGCAGCAAATGGAATATATGAATGATCTTTTAACACTTAACGTGAAATCATATTCTACCAGTAAGACGCAAGCTCAACTGGACAATCATATTAATGCAATAACTAAGTTTTTAAATTAAATCATGATTGGAAAAGAAAAAAAATACTTCATCATCGTCATCTTTTTGCCGTTTTTTCGAGGCTTTATTATCACGCAATTCGTTGCATCGTTCTGTCATAAGACTTGTTTTATGTAAGGCACGCACTGATTCGTTAATGCATAAGTGTTGTCTCGATCCCAACGTTACCATCCTTGGTTGAAATCTGGAAAACAACTATTAGCAAGACTCGAAAGTTATTTTATAAAAAAATATTTATTTTTACAATAATTCTTTTGAAACACAACAGATCATGCTTTCCAAAATGATATTAGTGAAATGATCAGTAGGCAATTTGAATCAAAAAAAGATATATGTAATAAAAAAAGAAAAAAACTAGATGACCGTGTTTTAGAAATTTCCTCGGCAAATTGTAGCAACTGAGAATGTGTTCGCGTGGCATAAATTATTTTTGTACAAGTCGGAGTCGGTTCTTCCACAATTTTCTTTCCAAGTTGGTCGTTTGTAAAATCTTCATCCAGTATCTAAACGATTAACATTATTGAATTTCCCTCATTCAGTATCTCCTGATAATATGAACTGGCATCATACACAACCTTACTGTCTTAGCAAAGAATTCATATAATCCGATTCAGTGATTCTCACAATTTCAACTCGCAAACTGCCGGTAATTTGATATCCCGAAAAAGCACAATTTCTTGGTTCCTGTATCTTCCAGGAAACAATTAATGTAACTTTACCTCATCTGTTTCGTTATCATTTTCTTCCTCATTATCTTCATTATCTTGTAATTTCCGTTTCGGATGAATCACCACATTTCCTAACGCTTTTTTAATTCTCTCATCTATTTTCTGATCGTTTTCAAGTTGACTGAAAAGTCCCTTCGCATCTTCGATTGCTTTAACCTTCTTGATATGAGCGTGCAACCAGTCATTTTCATCTACAATTCAACTGCTAGGTAGTATCATTTAAATTAACTGTAATTTAGTTTGTCATGATTATGTACCTTTTCCGACTTCCTGAACTACTTTCAGTTGTTCGTCAAGACTTATCTTTCTTTCTCTCTCAAAAGTCTCGAGCCAACTAAGCGTTGCACAAATGATACTCATAGATTTTCCCGTGCCTGTGGGTGATTCTAATATTCCGATTTTCCTTTCATTGATACAGGAAATAATACTTCGCATTAATGATATCTGAATATCATATGGTTCGAATGGAAACGAAAATTCTGCCATGCCTAAAAGAGACCCATTAAAAAACTGATCTATTCAATAAGTAGTACAGAATTTAATCTATAAAAAATCCTTTTAAACACTAATAAAGCAAGAACAAACCATCCATTCATACATTGAACACATAGCATCAACGAAGCACATACAGTTTAATGATAACATAATGCACGAGTAACGTAAAACACGATATAGTAAACTTCATATATGCATCCATGAAATACATATTCTTATCACACAAATTGAGCTTAAATCATAAAACTTCAGTTTAATTCAAGGTTTTGAACCTCGGTGATAATATACATTGACAAACAAGTACCTCAGGAATGTTTGCATGAATGTTTCAGTTTTGCTAATATAAATCACTATTTATCCCTTATTTCTAAATCTTTCTCATCATTGAACTGCATTTGAATGTAAAGTGAAAATTAAGGATATGGAATTTTGAGAGCGAAAATATAAAATAAAAACATTGCCGTTTGCATTGCAAAAATTAAAACTAACATTGGAAAGTTTGAATTAACTCTAAACTTAAAAAATTTGGAATCTGAGAACCAAAACGCTAAGTGTTATTAAATAGTATTGGGCTTAGACGCAAACTTAGGCTTATATTGGGCTCACAGTCACATCTAAGACGACAGCAAACGAAAATCGAGCAAATGACGCATTTGAAATTGTTGCTCCCGCAAAGTGTTAGAGACGGAGAGGAAGTCAAACGATCCTTCGTTATGATTCACGTATTTTCTATCTCTCTTTCCATACCATCCAATATTTTTTCTCTTCCATATCTGTCCATCCATCCTTCCATGTCCTAATGTCAAAGACTTACTGAAAGGTAAAAGGAGTGTGAAAGCGGTCTCGGTGATTCCCGCCATTCTCGACTTTCAACCAGTTTAAGTTCCAGTTATGCCTACCCATCCACCATGGAAGGAAGCGGGTTTGAAGCTACTCTTCTTCCGACTTTCCATTGCTCCCTCATAACATTTCCACATTTTTGATCCATACTGTTCGGATCTTCACCATTTCATCCACAGATTTACCCATCGATGAAATCGGTCGGTACCTCTAACGCCAATACATAGCAACATTTTATCTATTGCTATTTACTTGATGCCGGTACAATAAACTTATTATGTAAACAGTATTGCTTCCAAAGAATATCTGTAATACGATCCATATTTCTCGAATTTCAAAAAATAATCCAAAGTAAGAAAATTCTTGCTTCATATCCTGTTTTTTTTTTACTCTCATTTGAAGCTATTATGCAAACAATGCTTGATTTTGTCATGAAATATAGAAGTTTCAGGATGCTCTGTATGTTCACGCCGACTACATTTTATCAAATATACAAATATGCATGTGTATAATAAATAAAGATATTTGAATATATATTACTAAAAGAATAAACGTCTAGAAAACAATTAAACCTATCTAAACATATCGAATCTGACGAAAAATACAGCATCATTTTAACAGAATAAAATAAAAGGCAAAATTTTAATGAAATTAAAAGGCACATATTATGGCAATTAGCTAATGACCACTAATAAAATAACGATTGTATAATGAGACAAAGAATCACCAAATCAAAAAGATGTTCAGGTATCGCAATATCCTTAAATGATATAATGGCACAAAATGCAACCAAAAAGCTTCTAAGGCTATCAATAAAACAAATATACCAAATATAATTAAAAGAAAAGATTTTAGTCAAAAAACTGATACGTTGCTAATTGATATACAAGAATTTTAAAACAGAACAACTAATAAGTTTATCGAAAGAGAGAAGAAAATGAATAAACTCATTCTCATTTAGCATTACTGCGAGAAAATTAGAGAGGCACTGCAGAATCAAATATTTTTGATCAGAAAAGGGTCAATTAGCCGAAACTGAAATAATGTATGAGTTGCTCAATATAGATAACGATATCCATCTAAAATTATGGTAATCATTATGCTTTCAGGCTGATGTCTAATTCAGGACGATGCAATGGAAACAATATTAAAACAAGCCAAACTTCGAACTGATTGAATTCTGGATCGGACAATTTCTAAACATGACTTTTCACGTACATGGAACGAAGATATTCATTAAAGCTTTTATCAGATAATGGGCTGTGCCATATTCACCAGCTGGAGCTGAATCGTAGAAATGCTGACACATTCCTTGAGCACCATCACAACGTTTCCCCGATCCACAACATTCCATTACGATTGTTTCCATTTGCTTCTATCAAAATAAGATAATATATCACCAGGATAACATTGCAGTGATAATGCATTACTAGAATTATCAGTCTATCCCAATACAATAGCTTCAAAAAACATGCGCAAAAATATCCACGTTATAAAATTACTAAATTATTCTACATAATAAACGAAAAATGTTCCTTGTTCCAATAAAAGAAATTTTCATTCGAAAAAAGTGCAGTAAATAAAATCAAACAAATGATATAATTATCGAGAATTTATTAAAGAGAACGCTTTATTGCCAATATTTGAAAATATTGACGAAATGATGAACTAACATTATGCTCAACAAATAGTTTGTTCGCTCTATGGATTACAGAATCTACTACAAACGATTTATCATGAGGTATATTAGGATTGTCCGTTTTCAGCAGGTTATTCATTCTGCTTAAAAGCGACAAAGTTTCTATCATAATTTCACGGTATTCCGGTTCAGCAATCTAAAACATCTCTTCTTTTGCAAGAACTTAAAGAAACCATGGAGATACACTTAATATCTTAGTACATGTACACTAATCAGCTTTTCAACTAACATAATTTTTCTTCATTGAGTAAAAAACATAAAGATTCATTATAAACTTTAATATCTCAAGATTTCTGCCTTTTTTAATTTTTTTGGTATTAAATTTTCGTTTCTCCAGTCCATAAAAGTCTAACCATTATGAAACACACAAATCATTATCCAAAGTGGCAGTTCAACTTAACAAGCTCTCGTTTTTACTACTTATAAATAATTAAAGCAGTAAATTAAATCCAAACAAAACAAACCTGATTTAGTACTTCCTCAACTTGCAACGCAAATTTGATTTCTCTACGTGTCATCTGAAAATGGGGAAAAGTACCGCAGACGTTGAGTATTTTCATATTATTTCATCTTCAATTTAGTAACCTGATTCACGGAAGTCAGAATGGCTTCATGAGGTTTCTGACAGTTCTACATTTTCAACAGTTGCCATTCTACATCAACACGATCAGGATGATGCATCCAAGCAGGATTCCGGTCACATAAATTCAAGTGACCATACAAGAAATCAAAAAGTTCTTGCTGAAGCAATACTGCAACATGGAAATCAGCGAACCTCCTGCGTGACGCCCCAATGTAGAACAATATGACTGATTGATAAACCGCGAGGAAAACGTCGTACAATATCCCACAACATCTATAAGGAATTAAATTGTTACAAGTAAATGAAAAATTTTAACATGTATAATGTAAATAAGAACAAATATTATCAGTAAAAATAAATAGCACCAAGAAGTATAGATCTCATATATTTTATCCAATTCATTTTTAAATTTAAGAGAGTGATGCTCTTCACCCATGGACTGAAACGCTGCATATTATTTAAAAGAAATCCGAAGTAATTAAACATACTGCATAGAAGTCAGGTGGAACTCTATTTAAAGCTCCATCAATTCGACGATGTCTTAGCCAAATTCCAAACTGGAAGTTTTCGGCTTCTTCAGAATCAATTGGAACTAATACATTCGCGTCGACATTCATACTACTATCATACATAGATCTCCGTGACTACAATTATATCGGTCAAAAAAAATGCGTGATGTATAAATGTAAAAATAAATTGTTAAAATTATTGCTTGAAATTTACACAATCTGCAGTGTTTCGAAAAAAATTAAAGAAATGACTTAATTAAATACGAAAGTTACCTTCCGCTCCTCAATTTGCTTTCTAATAGAACCCATACCACTACGTTGCTCTTTGACACCAGATTCGGCATCCGTACCAAAATCTTCTAACAAACGACCGCTCAACAGCAACAGCAGCATAGATTTTACTTGAAATGGTGAAAGTTGGAGTAATTTTTGTGTCGCATCAGTTCCACTGATACTACTAGAACGAGCCAATTCACTAGCTAACACCTAAAATAATCGTACGATGTTTCCAAATGTTTCGAAAAGATGACTTTCATTTCATTCAATTTAAATGCTCAAATTTAATTCAAATCCTTAATCATCGAAATAAACTTCTCTGCTCATAAAATTACGATAACATTAAAAAACCAAAATATCAATGGCAAAAAAATTTCGTTTTTCCTTTCAGAAGATAGGACTGATAATGTGACCATAAAACCATTTAAAAGTTTAAAAATCCAAACTTACTTGTTTCACTACCAAAAATAATTTACAGACTTGACAGAGGATGTTGCTGATGCGGTAACTATAGTGGATTAAAGTAAGGTATCAATTTCCAGGAAGTTCATGACACAAACAAGCTAGAAAAGTTGTTGGAAAAAATAGATCAGAAAAACACCTGTATAATCAGTCCCACACGTATTCTGAACATTTCTACAAATAACCGCGGTTCTGTTAGCACCAACGAACCAAGACAAACGATAATTTCCTAAATAAAAATAGCACTCAGAAATACACATATATAGTAGTTTCATTCATTTCGTCACTTTCAATAAATTAAAATACATATTAGGAAAATCGGATATGCTTTCTTGCACCAGTGGAGAAGCATCATTTTGTATAGTGAGATATAGTTTCTTCGAGAACTCTTTTCCGCTATCATGATTTTAATTAT